TCAGGAAAGGAGGTTAGGGAGGGATAAGTGGAAAGACGTGAGGGAGGAATGAGGCACAAGACCCCAGTGGGGCACACCAGGGGATTGTTAATGCTCCTCCAGGTGGAAGCTCTCCAGAAGAGCCTCCCAGATACGGACAGCCCCTCGACGGACCTCCCAGATGGCAGCCATGCGAGGCTGCATATATAGACCAGTCAAGTGGTCGGCCTCTGCGATCCAGCCTGGCAGGAAAGCCTCCCCCTTCCACTCACACAAACTGTGCAGCACACAGCACGCTGCCATCACGTGCAGAATATTCCACTCAGAGGTCCAGGCAGGTGAGGAGGCCTCTAAAACGGGCCTTCAGCCGGCCAAAGACACCTCCACTACGATGCAGGCCCTGCTCAGCCTGGCATTAAATGCCTGTCAGGAAGGGTTGAGGTGTCCCGTGTAGGGCTTCATGAACCTGGGTTGTAGGGGATAGGTCGCATCCCCCACCAGGCACACAGGCATGTCCACATCTCCGACCCGTATGCGGCAGTTGGGGAAGAAAGTCCCGGCATGCAGCCTCTGGTACATGGAGGAGTTACGGTAAACCTGCACGTCGTGTGCTCTGCCAGATCAGCCCACATTGATGTCCACAAAATGGCCCCAGTGGTCAGATTGGGGGTTGGGTTGCTGTAGATCCTGCGAGGCAGCCTGCAGAAATGCAGCCAGGCTCGCAGCAACAAGTCCAAGAGAAGCACCAGAGTGCCAAGGGGCAGCTCCAGCTCCATGCTGCAGAGTGCTGTGGTGTCCTGAGTGACGGCAACCAGAGCATGCAGAGGAAAAAATGCTTTGCTGTCCCTCAGTGAGGTAGGCAAGCAAGCAAGGATACCTGAGAACTGGCTGTCCAGAGGGGTCCCTTTAAGCACATGCTTCAGATAGCCTCAGGGAACAGCCACACAACTCCTGACCTGATGCCCTGCCAGAACCGGTTCTGGCTGGCCGTAAATACGATTCAGCGTCCAATCAGCGTTGGCACTCTATTTCAAAATAGCAAAACGCTATTTCAAAATGCATTTTATGTCTAGCTACATTATTTTGAATTAACTATTTCGAAATTAAATATTTCGAAATAACGCTGTAGTGTAGACGTACCCTACAAGAGTAGAAAAGTGTCTAACAGGGTGCCTCTGTCAATTACCTGAATCAAGTAAAAGACATGGCATTTCCTGTTCTGTTTAGATGTGAACTGGTCCACCTGGGGAGTCCTCCACCTAAGGAAGATGATGCTAAGCACTTCTGGATGGAAGGATCACTCGTGGCAAGATAAGAATGCCTTGCTGAGGCAATCTGCCAAAGCGTTCCTAGCTCTGGGGATATGTGCAGCTGCAAGATGCCATGCTATATACGGAAGTCTCAAAGCTAGAGAGCTTCTTGGCAAAGGGGGAAGATAATCTGTTTCCATCTTGCTTGTTGATACAGAACACAGCTGCCACATTGTCCGTCAGGATCTGGACCACCTTGCTTTTTATGTGAGATAAGAAGGCCAGGTGAACTGATCTGAGCCCAGATGCTGATGTGTAGGAAGCAATCATGACTCAGCTAACAATCTCGCATACCAGGACCACCTAGGTGGGCTCCCCACCCCAGAGTCATTGGAGACAAGGGTGATCGACGAGGACAGAGCTGCAAAAGGAACTTCTCACATCAATGTGCATTTCTTACCCCAGCTGAATGATGACAGTACATGTTCTGGTGTAGTGTATGCTGTGTCTGCTGGGTGTGTAGACTGACACCAGTCACATCCGCAAGGGCCTGATACACAGCTGTATGTGTTAGACCACATAAGTGGCCAAATAATCACAGGCATGTGTAAGCCATCATGAGAGGGGGCTTTCATGGCTTTTAACTAATCCTCAGGCCTTCCATGGGCAAATGAACAGAAGTAGCAGTTAATCCCTCCCAAACTGTGCATATATGTTTAAATGCTTGTAAGCTCTGGAATCTGTTCTCTGCTTCAGTACAAATCCTCATAATAATCAAAATCTATCGTTGCCTGTTAGAGTACCAAAAAGAAGCTGACAATGAATTTTTTGCTGTTGTCAGAATTTGCCACTAAGTTAAATTAGTGAATTTCTATGCTTTTTAAGTGTGGACAATGCTCAGCAAAATTTATCCAATGACCACTATCTAGATTTTATTAATATTAGCATTACTCGTCCCATTGTGACAGTAGATGTACATGTGACCTCCTCCCTCCCCGCTGCTCCTGGGGATGCTGGGACACATACGTGCTCTTCCCCTCCCCATGGTGGGTGGGGGCGGAAGACGCACATGGTCTCCTCCCACTCCACTACACCCAAGGCTGGGGAGGCCTAGACCAGCTCAGGATGCAGGGCCTCCTCCCTCCCTGCTGGTCCCAGGTGGGTGGGGAGGCTTGGGACATGCAGCCTCTTCCCTCTCCATGGTTTTCTTCTCCCCATGGTGGGGAAGGGGTGCAGTTGTTCCTCCTCCTCCCCTCAGTGCAGGCGGGGTCTCAGTGGAGAGGGTGGGGCTATAGGTGGGGCTGGGGGCCTGCCTCCCCTAGAAACTTCTCAAGTCTTCTCATATGTTCTCTGTGACAGATGGTGTGATGGACACCTCTCCTTTTATAATAATATAGATGAGACAGGAATTCAAATTTGGAACAAAAATGCCGTAGGAGAAATGAGACTATTCTGAGTTTTAATTCCTACTATGACTCAGTAAATGTACTATTATTAGATCAGTTAAGTAATTTTCCATGGGATTTGTTCCTAAACGTCTCTCAAACATGAAAAAGCATTCAAAAGAAAGCATTTTTTGTTACATGGCTTTACTAGTTTTTACACAAATCTCTTTGTGTTATACTATATATTATATTTTCCTTATATTCCAGTCTGTTTCTTATACAGCGAGAAGGATTTTAATCCAGATGTACCTGAATTTCAGTTTTCAATTAAGAATTAACCTGTCATTTAGGTTAGGAAAGGAATAGCCTACAGAAGCAGTAATGAGCTATAGGGCAAGTAAGTAGTTCAAATCCAGCCTACAAATGCTGTAAATGTTGTTTACCATTTTACAGAAATTGAGTAGTCTATCAGAAGTGAGGTTTTGGTCTAAACGCCAACTCCTATTTAACTCAGAGCCCAGAAAGGGAATGGTCATGGAAATTAAGCTACCCTCTGAACTCAAAAGTAATTCTCAGTGTCTCAGTCAAGACTGAATAGCCCAAGAGAGACATTTCCACTGTCAGTATGATACCTGTTCCATAAACAAAAGTTTTCAGTCTCTAAAGCAGTTAATCCCATACCTTTTGTGCACATGATTTACTTAAACCAAGACAGGTCATTCTTTTAAAATCCCATATAAAGACAAAAAAAGATAGCATTACCAACCTCTATATCTGTCTGGAAGTTAAAAAGATCTATTCTTTGCCAGTTACTTCCATCCAGAGCCAAGATATTCCATGCCTAGAAAAAACATATATGTTTAATAACTATTCTCTATCAGATACTTATATAGCCCACCCACATCACTATAGTGTGAGTGTCCTGAACTTAGACACTACACAAGTATTCTTTCAGCATGCAATATTTTGTATGTAAATCAAAAGTGATTTAGGCATCAAGACTTTTGTTGGATTGAATCTTTTAAATTCTGGAATTGTGTGTTTTCAGACTGTAAGAGCCAAATTGTGCCCTTGGATATATGCATGAACATTGACTTAAATGCAAGCCATGCATATATACCAGTACAATGGCAGAATTTTATCCTCATCATTTCAAGCAATTTTAGTAAGTTCATTGTTCATTATTATTTCTATTAAAGCTGTATGCAAAGAATTATAATTTAAAATGTATCTGCTTCTATAGTGAAAGAATAAAAAGAAAGTGGGGAACACAGCTATAAATGCCCTTATAGATAAGTTTTCAACTCCAAAATTATTTATAAACTTTACATATTATTGGCTCTGTCCTAAGAGGAATAGAACCACCTGTGCAAGATGTTGGCTTCTGAATTCCCCTATATTCATGGGAATGGACGCATTTAACCGCTCTCAGGATTTGGGCCATATTTCATTATACAGTAAACACAAATTTCTTCAACAGCACACATTATTTCTACACAATAGTTCAGGTCAGAAAGTGAAAATGAGTTCCTTATTCAACAGAAATTTCTGGTACATGTGGTTACCCAACCAGTTCAATATCAACTCAGAGGGAAGAATACCACCCTACTGATTCATCAACATTATTTTTTGCAACACCCTAGCTTTTAGCTGGCGATACTGGCCAAGACTGATGCTGCTTAGCTTATTAAAATCACAGCTCATGATGATATGGAAACAGGAATAAAACAGTTATGTTCTGAATTTAAAAGAACAATATTTGATTTTCACTAAAAAAGAAGTGAAGCAAAAATTTAAAAACCTGCCTTTGGAAAGAATGCAAGAAAATGTTCACTGTGGTAGTCTGGTGTATACAAAGTTTAGTTTTGTATGTAAGAATAAAATATATTTTTCATTTTAATTCAAGCCAAATAAGCATGTGAACATAAAAATGTATTTAGATATGTCTTTTCAATTTTCTTCATAAGTGCCCTTTTCTCAACAGGTAATAGATGCAGTCAACCCCCTAAGCATTTGGCACACTCACTGGGCACACTTCTTAAACATATGTTGAATATTAACAGAGCTACATGGTATTTTAAAGCACAAAATGCTTTTGAAAATAGTGTTATAAAGCCACAAACTTTAAATAGCAAATGCAACTATGCCAAAAAAGGACTAATTCTTTCTGCAGACATAAAACATGTATCACTGCACATCTCTACCCCCAACCACCAACCTTAAGAGAAAACACCAGATACACAGTGACGCTCAGTTTCTGATCTATTGCTCAAAGTCAATGGTAAGATTCCCTTTGACAGAGCCTGATTTAAAGCCCATTGTTCTTGGTATTTAATAAAATAGGGCCTCCAACGCACAAATGACCCACATAACGTGAATACTGTACCTTGGAAACTTGTGCACATCGGCACAAAGTAACAATATCCAAGAAGGAAAATATTCTAGGAAGAAAAGGAACAGAATCAAATTATGCTGTTATTTAATACTAATCCAGTCTAACATATAAGCTCTCAGTTTCGTAATAACAAGAAAACATTCAAGCTAAAAAACCCTAAATTATATTTAACTCTGCAATATTACAAAATTGTATTGTGTAGACTGACATCATATATGCTTACTAAGGGGAAAATCCACTCCCCTTTGTCCATGGTTGTGGATACCCTCAATGTAGCAGAAATAGTGTGCAGCTGCTAGTGCTGAGGTTTGAATTTTGGCTTCTATGTATTACCAAACAAGTACTACCATTAAACCATTTAAAACTGGTTTTTAATTTAAAAATGTAGTTTGTAAACATTTAACTTTCTTAAAGAGTAATCACTAAAAAAATTAAGTAGATTTAGCACACTATCATTTGGAAATAGGTATGCTATTTTTGATCAACCCCCAAGTGAAAAGAATTACTGAAGCAAAACAGTGCAGATTTCTAACAGGTCACATATTGCTCACTAAGCCTTATGAAACTCACTTCAATAATTTAAAAAAATTAGACTTACTCTACAAGAAAGTCTAATCACCTTTAGTATCTAAAAACAATACCATTTCTGCAAACTTGCCTACTGTATCTGTTGAGTTTGGAAGGAGATTTGCACTGGCAAGTATACTAGTGTAAGCACAAAAATGTAGATTATTTTCCAAAACTATTTTCTACTACAATCACAAGACTACATACTAAAATTAAAAAACATTACCTGCTCACAAGGCTGTCATTTTTGATCCTCAAAATTATGAACATCTTAAGTTGCTGTCAGTATCATCTTGTACTAAAACCTTAACACTGATAAATAAATACAGCTGATATGTTGGTGAAGAGTTGAGGATGATTAAAAATTATCTAAAAATGTGAAGGTTCAGACTTTTGAAGCCTACATCCAGGCATATAAATCCATAATTAAGGACCTAAATAAGTTTCCAAAGTTTTAGTTTAATAGCCATGGAAGTCAACAGGATCTATAAATGTCACTTGACTGTATAACTTTAGCTAGCTATGTTTTAAAATGTCTTTCCTGATATTCCATTATGACATTTGAACACATTCTATTTTAATTACATATGAATAACAATCAGCCCATTTATCATGCCGACGCAAACAGAAAAATGAGCATAGTCTAATCGTTTGCCCTTATCTGTTTATTAATATATCAATATTGTGTTTTAAAAGAATGAAAGAACACAAAGAGCAAACATACAGGCTTTTATTTTTTTTCCTCTGTCACTTGGTCATTATTCTATTGGATACAACTTTCTACAGGGAAGCCTTTAACAAGATTCTTATTGTAATGCAATTTTATCTTCAGTTGGGGAATTTTTTTTTTTTATGAAGTCAACTTTTCTGCTATACTTGGGAGTCAGTCAAGTTGTCCCCATGGAAACAGACAACTTGAATAATGGCAATCACAGAACATATGTATTATACCTCATCTTTTCTTTACAGGGATTAATTAATGCTTGTCAGTACTCTGAAGGTGTAAAATGCTATGCAATTGTTAAGTATTATATCTGAAAGCATGAGATACCATTGACGAGTTTAGCTATCATTGCTATGAATCATTTCACCAATGCTATAATTTATTATCCACTGCCACTATTTTGCTTGAAATATTAAATGAAAGGATTTCTACATATTTTTGCTTATTTCATTCATATCATCTTGAAAAGCCAATTATTTGCTTTCTAGATTACCTCTTCTACTGTGTTTGTGGAATGAATGCCAAATGTGCAATCCCATGTCATCTTCTTAGAGTCTAAATGATTACATGTAGCTCAAGTGCAAAATATAGCAAATAAAGTCTTGGGAATGACAGCAAGACACTCCATGAAGTGAAGAGACTCCAATGTGCTCAAAGTAGTTTCTTCTATGACTGTCAACAGTCAACCATGGCAAAAGCTGCTCTTATTTCTTCCATTCCACTATTTTTCTTCCTTTCCTCTGTCCAGTTCTCTCTAACCTCTCCATTTGTCCCACACAAATGCCTCACACTGCAGCTTTAAAATTATTTTAATGACCCCTATGACTAGAAGAGGATTATAAAACATATATTTGCCCAGTAATATCTTTTGTAGTCTTCTAATCCTGCTGTAAAATCTACATATTTCATGAAGCCTCACAAATCTCATGAGATCACTAACAAAGTTTACACACCATCTTATATCTGAATTTAATACATTCAAGATCAATTTGAGTTGTTCAGAGTAAGGGCTTTGCTTACAAAATGTTGAGTACTTTTACACTGATTCTTCCTTAGCTGACAATTCCTTACCAGAAATTAGCCAGAGAGCGCCAAAAAAGGACTATGGAGTCTAAACAAAACAAAAAAGACAAAAGTACAGCTGTGTAGGTTTTCATGCTGTGTCTTTCCTAGAATTCAACTGGAGTGGGGTTTTTTTGTTTGTTTTAAATGTAAAATATACCAGCTAGAACAACTGATAGACCTACAGTGCACCTGTCCTTTAACTTCTGCATAGCTATGGCTGTGAATGCAGCCAGCAGGAAAAATAATTTCTTCTTAGTATATAGACACAGATTAGTACAAGGAGCTGGAAATGACGTTCATGTTCATAGATTCTCCTCTCTCCTGAATAACTCCATATCTGAACCAAAGGACAGCTGTGTAGGGTCAAGGGCGCCATTCAAGAGGGGTTAGAGGAGACTGCACCCCTTTCCCTCTAAGATTCCTACCACAGCAGGACACTGTCTCTTGTCTCCCCTTTCAGTTGTGTTGTATTACAAAGAGGTCTATCTTGGAAAGTCCCCACCTCTGGAAGACTGAATGAGCCACTTCTGGGTGAAGGGACCACTTATGAGACTGGAAGGAGCGGCTGAGACTGTCTGCTAAGTCATTCTGTGCACCCAGTAGATACGCAGTCTGTAGATGTATTGAGTGCTGTATACAGAAGTCCCATAACCTGAGAGCTTCATGACACAGGGGAGAGGAGTGTGCACACCCTTTTTGTTGATATAAAATGTTGTTGTGTTCTCACAGGTGAGCTCCCCACACCAAATCTGACACATTTGTCACTAATTTCTGTGATAGCTACTATACTGTGAAAGAAACCTGGAACAGACTTGCTGTTCACTGAGCTACAAGAAGGGGGAATCTAGCACCTTCAGGGGTAGCATTCATAGCCTGTCCAGTCTGTAGTGGGATGGGAAGTAGACTGATATTAGCCATAGTTGAAGCAGTCTTGAATCTTAGCCTTGCATAAATGTATGAGGCCATGTGGCCCAAAAGTTTAAGGCAGATCATGGCCATGAAAGCCATGGCCTGAAACCGCTCCCTAGCACAGGTTGAAGCCAGAACTGCTCCAATAAACTATCCTCTGAGCTAGGAGGAGAGTGGATTTGGATTCACTGAGGAGAAGGCCTAGATTGCCAAAAGTCTTTCTGATCAATGTCACATGGGCCTCCGCTTCCTGAACCGACCTTTGATAAACCAGTCATCCAGGTACAGAAAAATCTGCACCTCATGTCTGCAGAGGAAGTTGGCAACCACTGCCATGTAGTTCGTGAATACTCAAGTGGCTGAGGAGAGGCCAAAGGGGAGCATTGTGAATTGGTAATGCTGGATATCCATTACAAATCTGAAGTACTTTCTGTGAGGTTGATAAATCAAGATATGGAAGTGTGTGTCCCTCAAGTCGAGGGCAGTGTACCAGTCATTTGGCACCTGGGAAAAAATTATGGATGCCAGGGAAATCATGTGGAATTTGAGCTTCTTTACAAATTTGTTGAGTTCCCAAAGGTCCAGAATAGGAGGACGCCTGCCTTCAGCTTTTGGAATTATGGAGCAGTGAGAGTAAAACCCCTGCCATCGGCTTTCTGAAGGGAACCTCTATCACCAGAGTTAGGAGAACCAGCATCTCCTAAACTGGGAGTTGCTTTTGAGAAGGGTCCCTAAAAAGGGACGTAGAGTGCGGGTAGAACAGTGGCAGGGGGAGGAAAACAAAATGGATTATCCCCTCTCTACCATGTGCATTACCCAATGGTCTGAAATAATTTGGGACTATGCACAGTAGAAAGGAGACAGTCGAGAAGTGAAGCCCTTGAGTACTGGCCTTGGCTCCAACCCTGTCTTTAGTGATAAGCCCACGGAGTCCAAAAGGACTTCTGGGCGGAGGGCTGCCACTGAGTGGGACATGATGCAGTGTACTGGTGCCGATAACAAGAAGTCGATTTCTTGCTGGTGCTAATGTCAGACTCTGAGGTTTCTGTGCAGGACAACTAAGGAGGAGCTGAGTTTCTAAGCACTGAGCCCTGGGGTGAAATTTGCTTCTCAGATCCCATTATGGTGTTGTGGAGCAGTTCATCAGGGAAGGCAAGCATGGAGCCATCATGGTTGGCTTATTTCTCAATGGCACCCTCAGCAGAGCCTGTGCCAAAGGCTGTGTCCAGACTCAGGGGGTTTTTCGAAAAAAGTAGTCTTTTTTCGAAAAAACCTCACCTGCGTCTAGACTGCAGCCGCGTTCTTTCGAAATTAAATCGAAACAACGCGGCTTTTCTTTCGATGGCGGTAAACCTCATTTCACGAGGAAGAACGCCTTCTTTCGAAAGTTCCTCTTTCGAAAGAAGGCGTTCTTCAATGTAAATAGGGCTTCTTCGAAAGAGAGCATCCAGACTCACTGGATGCTTTCTTTCGAAAAAGCAAGCCGCTTTTTCGAAAGTTCAACGTGCAGTCTAGACGCTCTCTTTCAAAAGAGGCTCTTTCGAAAGTATCTTTCGAAAGAGCCTCTTTCACCTCCCCACTGAAGTACACACCTACACAATTTAAAATTAGCCATGCTATGCATCAAATCCTGGGCTGCTTGGAAGGCCTCAGGCATGGAAGGCACAACAATGTCCCTGGGTGACTCTGCAGCTCAGACTGGAGGCAGACTGTTTGGCTCCTGGGCTCTTTCCCCTAATTCAGGTGCTGCTGCTGACACACGGTGGTCCAACTCAGGTCTC